GCAGGAGGGGAAGGCCCTCTATGAGGTGGATTGATTCAGTGACTGGGATAATTGGGATGGGAGTGTCAGAGACAGTGCGATTGGCACAGGACAGAGCAGCGTTTAGGGCCGTTGTACATAGGGTCGCTATGAGTCGCAGGCGACTTGATGGCACGTTAACAACAACCACCTCTGAGATTGCAGTACAGCTTCTTGCCACTAGGCCACCAGAGCTCGCCGAGGCTGTGCATTTTTATTATTATTATTTTGTGTGCGTGTACTGTCAAATCAGATCTGACTGGTTGGTACAGGAGGATATTGCTCCTCCTTCTCCAGCAGAGCATCTGGTGGATTCGAACAGTGTACCTCTGGGATTGCAGTGCAGCTTCTTGCCACTAGGCCACCAGAGCTCCCCTAGGCTGTGCATTTTTTTTTTAATTTTTTTATTATTTTTGTGTGCGTGTACCGTCAAATCAGATATGACTGGTACAGGAGGAGATTGTCCCTCCTTCCACGGCAGAGCATCTGGTGGATTCGAACCGTGCGCCTCTGGGATTGTAGTAGGCTGTGCATTTTTATGGGAGCAGCTAGAGGGTTCAAACTGCCAACCTTTAGTTTGGCATCCCAATGCTTAACTCATTTAACTACCAAGACTCCTATTTCAATAACGATGATAATAAAAAGACCCTGCATGGAGTTCATTCATAGTGACACTCCCTCAGTCTTCTGCAGCTGCAGCTTTTTGTTTTAATTTAATAGCCTTATTTCACTTCGGGGTGGTGTCCGGCTCAAACCTTCTGGGCCTGCTTCTTGGTGTGGGCAGCCTTGGTGACCCTAAGCTCGTTGAAACTCGATAGCCAGGACTCGCCAACGGTGACAGTGCCGCCGATCTGGACAGCTCTGAAGCAGGGGACAGGTGCCTGGACATGTTCTTCTGATGCTTCTCGAAGCAATTGTTCTTGCGGGTGTCATGGAGGGAGTCTCGGCAGATGACAATGGTCCTCTGAATTTTCATCTTCATCACCATGCCAGGCAGGATTCGCCCTCACATGGAGACATTACCAGTGAAAGGGTCAATGTAGGTGCTCTCAGTGGCCTCCGTGGGCGTCTTGAAGCCCAGACCAGTGTTCTTGGGACAACCTGGGAGCTTCTCCTTGCTGGTATCACCCAACAGTGCCCTCTCTGCTATGGAAGAATGTCGGCTGCTGCTGGCAGGCACGCTCAGTCTGAATGTCTACCATCTTCCAAGCTGCTTGGGAAAAGCCAGATGCAGATGTCTAAGGGAGGATAGGGCCCCTCTTTCTCCTGAGGACCAACCAGCTAGTGGATTTGAACTATTGACCTTTCAGTTAACAGTGCAACATGTAACATGTTGCAACACCAGAGCTGCCTAGACTATGAGCAGGGCTGTAAATCAAGGGGTCAAAAAGTAAGAAGTAAGTTGTGAATGGTTTGTGTTGTGTGGGGTTTGTTTTTCTTTTTCTTGTGTAATAACTGGGGTAATAGGGTTGGTATGTCAGATTTAGTGAGACTGCCTCAGGATAGGGAAGAGTCGCTATGGGTCACAGGCGACTCAACAGCACATAACAAGGAAAGAGAGCTCAAAGGCGACAGTATCAGGAGCTCTGTATCAGCTGTGGAAAGCTCTGGTGACGTAGTCCATAAAGAGCTGCTCTAGGAACCCAAAGACAGCTTCCCTGTGACTCGACTCTGCCCGTGGCTCCCTGTGAGATCTGTTGTTGTTATGAGCTGCTGAGTTGAGTACGACTCATAGCGACCCTAGAAACAACAGATCTGAACCCTATCCTAGCCTGTGCCATCCTCACAATCTCTGACACCATCAGTCAAGCCCATTGCTGCAGTCACAGTGTCGCTCCACCTGGTTGAGAGTCTTCCTCTCCTTTACCGACTCTCCACCTTTCCAAACATGATGTCCCTCTCCAAGGATTACCTTCTCCCAGCAACATGCCCAAAGTAAGTGAAATGAAGCATCATCTTTCCTCCAAGGAGCATTATGGCTGCACCTGCTCCAGGACTTACCTATTTGTTCTTTCAGCAGTCCATGGGATCTTCAGCACTTTTCCCAATACCACACATCAAAGGCATCAATCCTTCTTCTGTCACCCTTAGTCATTATCCAGCTCGCAGATGCATAGCAAGTGACTGAAAAGACCATGATCTGAATCACATGCACCTTTCTCCTCCATAATTTGGAAAGGTCCTTCACTACAGAATAGATTATCTGAGAGGCTGGGCTCTATGAGGAGAAGTGTGGCGTCAGGATTGGTGGAAGATCTATTAACAATCTGCGTTATGCAGATGACACAACCCTGCTTGCCAAAACTGAGGGGGACCTCATACACTTACTGCAGAGGGTCAAGGACTGCAGCCTTCAGTATGGACTGAGGCTCAATGTGAAGAAGACAAAGATTCTCACCACTGGACCAATTGGTAGCATCAGGATGGATGGTGAAGAGATTGAGATTGTTCACGGCTTCAGTTTGCTCAGCTCCACGGTCAACACTCTTGGCACCAGCAACCAGGAAATCAAAAAACGTATTGCAATGGGAAAGTCTGCTGTTAGGGACCTCTCTAAAGTACTCAAGAGCAATGGTGTCTCTGGAGACTAAGGTGCGCCTGATACAGGCCATGGTCTTTGAAATCACTTGTTATGCATCAGAGAGTTGGACAATGAATAGGGAGGATAGAAGGAGAATTGATGCCTTTGAGCTGTGGTGCTGGAGAAGAGTACTGAATGTACCATGGACTGCCAAGAAAACAAACAAATTCGTCCTGGAGAGGGTTAAACCAGGCTACTCCTTGGAGGCAAGGATTCTGAAGCTTCGTCTGACATACTTTGGACATGTTGCAAGGAGGGACAGGTCCTTGGAGAGGGACATTATGCTTGGTAGGGTGGAGGAACAGCGCAGGAGGGGAAGACCCTGTATGAGGTAGATTGATTCAGTGACTGGGGTAATCGGGATGGGTGTGTCAGAGGCAGTGAGATTGGCACAGGATAGAGCAGGGTTTAGGGCTGTTGTACATAGGGTCACTATGAGTCGCAAATGACTTGATGGCACATAACAACAAAAATAACCTTCACTACAGGCTTTCCCAGTGCAATACATCTCCTGATCTGACTGCTAGTACCAAATGTACTGACTGTGGGATTTACAGGCCCCAATGCCTCCTACAAGGTCAATTATGAGTTGGTTCTGATTTGAAGGCAATGAGAGTTGAGAGAGAGATTAGGTGTATTCTGTAGCCTGCTGCACTACTAACCAAATGTTTCCGTATTATTGTCTTTTAGGACAACAGATAGTTTGTACTCAACTTCACAGTCTTAATCTGTTGTTATTATTGTGTGCCATCAAATCAGAACTGATCCATCATATCATAGCTCACCTTCCAGCAGGTTTTCAGAGGCTGTTAATCACACAAGAGGAGATTGCCCATCTTTCTCCCATGGAACATCTGATGGATTCGAACTGTGTGCCTTTGGTTTGGTAGTGCATCTCCTTACCACTAAGCCAGCGGAGCTCCCTAGCATTCTTCTATCTACTAATTGTATATCCAGTCTCCTATGCCCTCTATCAAGCCAGCTTTACCCTCATTCATTAATTAAAGAAAGCTTTTCATTAATGAGTTAAAATAAAAAACAAAAAAAAACCCAAACAACCCACCTTAAACTATGGTTGAGAATGGTCTGATCCACAGTCAATCATGGGTGGACACTGGTCCAGGCAGCATTTCATTTTGTTTTGGGGTGACCATCATGTGGGGTCTACTATGTACTGTCAAGTCAGAACCAACTCATAGCTGACCTTTCAACCAGTTTTCAGAGGCTTTGAGGCACACAGGAGTAGACTGCCCATCTTTCTCCTGAGGAACAGCCAGTGGCCAACAGCAGCTGTGAGCCAGAACCTGTGTTCACAGTGGCGTGTGTACAATCTCTTGATACCCTCATCTCAACCTTAAGAAGTGAGGCAACCGAGATACAGAGAAGGGACAAGTTCTCGCCAAGCCCAGCAATGCAGAGCCCCAGCTCAGCATGTTTGTCTGCCTCACGCGTTTTCGTCTGCCTGCAGTTGACGCCCAGGCCTCTCGTTTCCCTTTCTGAGGATCATGAGTGACAGTGATGAGCCGGACCTTCCCCCATCCAAGCTGTCTGGCCTCCGGGGAACTGTGGCACCTGCAGGTGCAAGGAGCAGTTCCTCTCCCCTCACAGCCCTATGAGCATCCAGTGGGGCTGCCCAGAAGCCAACAGAGCCCATCTCCTGTGGGGCTGGGCAGGAAGTGGGGTGGGGTGTGGGGCCAAGCTGAGGTGGGGTCTTGTGCCTCAGGACACCAGATTAACCCACGACTGGGAAAAGATGCCTGGGGCTTCAGAGGTCCTCCGAGGTCGGCCTGCCACCATCTACCTCCTCCTCTTGTTCTCTGCCGCTGGTCTGGGTATGTGGCCAAATGACTGGTGCTCTGGGATCCAGGGAGGTTGTTGAGGGGGGAACAGCAGAGTGAAGGAAGGTGTAGAGCCCAGGGGGAGGGGGAGAGGAGAGCCAGAGGGATCGGGATGCTGGAAAAGTCCCCTAATGTAGTTCCATCCATCTGTCTGTCTGCCATATGCTTAACTGACTGTCATTTAAGCTGAACTTCAAGTAGGGAGGGTCCAGGCGCCATGATGGTGAGGTGTGCACACTGGTAAACAAAGCCGAGTCCCTGCCCCCTGCCATCCGAGTACCTGCAGCCTAGTGATCTGGGGAACAAATCCAGAGTTGAATATGTGTTAACTAACGTGGGAAGTACGTGCTACCGCAGGTATCTTAAGTTACCCTGTTATGTGCTATAGTCAAATCAACTCATAGCTGACCCTCCGGTGGGTTTTCAGAGACAGTAAATGCAACAGGAAGAGACTGCCTATCTTCCTCCCCTGAGCAGACGGTGGATTTGAACCACCTGTCTTTGGCTTGGCAATGCAACTTCTTGCCACTAGTCCACCATAGCTTCTTCTTAGTTACCTAGAGTTGCTATAACAGAAAGACAGAAATATAACAGAAATAGGTGGCTTTAACAAACAGGAATGTCTTTCCTTGCAGTTTAGGATGCTAAAAGTCATGGTTCAGGTCAGAACCCTCCACTGGGCTTCACAGGGGAGGAGATTGCCCATCTTTCTCCAGGGGAGCTGCTGGTAGATTTTAACCTTCAGAGGCATGGTCTTTGGACTAGCTGCTGAACTCCTTATGAACTATACCACCAGATTTCGCTTTTAGGAGGCTGGCACATCGCTGATCTTCCAGCAGGTTTTCAGAGGCAGTAGATTGCATGGGAGTTGACTATCTTTCTCCACAGAGCTGCTGGTGGAGGGAGCTGGCTTCTCTCTCTTTCTGTGTGTGTGTGTGTTGGGGGGGGGGGGGTCTAGGAGGCTCCCAGCACAGAGACCTCAGGTATAAAGGTAACTCCTAGCAAAAAAACCCAAACCCAAGTCTCTTGTCTGATGTGGGTCTCAGGGGACCTCAGTGAAGTTGAGGGGGGGGTGTCTACTGTTCTATATTGGGAGGCTGAAGGGAGAGCTGCTTTCCCCACCCCCCATTATGCCCAGGTCAAAATAAGGAAGTTAAGAGTAAGGTCCAGCTGATGCTGGGGCAGGGAGGCGGGGGAGGGGCCTTGGGCGGTGCTGAGTCTATAGGAGAGAAAAAGCTCTCTCCAGTGTCACCCTGAAACCCAGGTACTCCTCTGTGAGAGGCAGGGCACCCATCCAGGCCTCTCCTCTCCCCCTGAGGGCAGGAGCTGTGACTGAGGTGCTGAGAGGAAATCCACTGAGCTGCAGGGATTGGAGCCCATATCGGAGTCTTAGCCAGTGACCATGAGGTTGGCGTCTTTTCTCGACCCTTCCTCCATCTCTCCTCCCCACCTCCTGCCTTCTCAAGACAGCCAGGCTGGCAGTGGGGATGGAGGTGCTGAGCACTGGGGCTTCTCTGCCAGGCAGGTCCTGCCAGGCTAACTTCCACCAATCACTCTGGCACCTCCCAGTGCCCAGGCCAGCTGAGTGAGAACCCAGATCTGAGCTTTGAATTGATATACAAACTCAAGAGAAAGAGATAATGGGCCAAGGCCACAAGGCAAACTATGGCCCTTCAATCCCAGCAGAGAAATGTGATAGTTTGAACACAGAGGCTACCTCTGACCACTCTGGATTCTGGAAACTAGTGTACCATCTGTGGGCCTCAACCATTCCACCTATAAAATGGGAGTGATGAGAGAATCTACTGAGTAGCCTAGAGCTTGAGGGTGGGAAGTAGACACATGACAGGCCTCCAGGAGGAAGGGATGGAAAATTTATTCTGGAAGAAGCTATGAGGTTAAGGGACGATGGTGGCAAAGTGGGTTGAGTGTTAGGCTTCTAACTTAAAGGTGGGCAGTTCAAAGTTACTAGCTGCTTCTAAGGGGGAAGATGAGGCTCTCTGCTCATCTTACAGCCTTAGACTCATGAGTCCTGTTTACTCAAAGCAGTGTTTACAGTATGTGGGCAGGAAGGAGGCCCTGGTGACATAGTGGTTAAAGTGGTTGTTTGTGAATAGAAGGGTTGGTGGTTTGAACCCACCAGCTGTTCCAAAGGAGAAAGACATGGCAATCTGCTTCTGTAAAAACAACCTTGTAAACTATTGGGGCATCAGCTTGGTCATTCTGAGTGGCTAGGAGGCAGAGAGCCGGCAAGTGGCTGTTGTTAGGTGCTGCCAAGCTGACCCCTACGTATAGGGTTCTTCTTGTGTGCTTCAGAGTCAGAACTGACTCATAGCAGACCGTTAGGTTGGTTTTCAGAGGCTGTAAATCACACAGGAAGAGACTGTCCCTCTTTTTCCTGAGGAGAAGTTGATGAATTTGAACTGTGTGCCTTTGAGTTGACAGCACAACTCCTTACCTGTGAGGCCACCAGGGTCCCCCTGACCTGTAACAGGTTGAAAATTTGCCTCCTCCTCAGTCTCTGCTGTGTGTAAGCCCATTGTTGCGAGCCTGGAGCAGGAGGAGGGGGGCTGTTTCCAGAAGCCTTCCAGTGCTAAGGAGCCAAACACCTCAGAGTCAGATAGTTTATTGGGGTCAAAGCATCAAGTGGTTTGTGGGAAGGGGCAGGAGATGGCTCTGGAGAAGGGACTAAGGCCCACCCAGAGGTTCCTCATTTTCTCTCCCTGAACATCCACTCTCCTTCTCCATCCAAGTCCCTACTCTCCCTCTTTCTGGGGTGTCCTCACTCCTCCCTACTCGGGGGTGTCTTCACTCTCTCCCCAAGGGTACAAGGTGTACCTCTCCTCCCACCTGGGGTCCTTCATACTCCCCACAACCTCAGGAGTGTTTTTACTTCACGAAATCAGTTCCTGGCCCTTCTCTCCACACTTGGCCCTCTGACCCAGTCTACTCTCTGCAGACCCCAGATGCCAAGCCCTGTGGGTCGACGAGGGCCCCCCTTCCCTGACAGTGAACGTGGGGGAAGAGGCCCACCTGCTGTGCCCACACAATGGCACTAACGCCAGCGTCACATGGTGGCTCATCCTCCCGGGCAACTCCACATGGCCCGCGATGCCGCTGAACATGGACCAAGGACCCCAGGGCGAGCTGAAAATCTCCAAGGTGAACAAGAGCCATGGGGGCATCTACCAGTGCAAGGTGACGAATGAAAAAAGCACCAGGAGCTCGTGTGGCACCTACCTCCGTGTGCGGGGTGAGTGAGCCACCCTGTGTCATACCTGTCACACCCCAGAAGGACTCTGGCTCTCCATGCGCGCAGGGGCTGGAGGATGAGGGGCGGGCAGGAAGCCAGGGCTCTGAGCAGACCCCTCCTCCCGGCAGAGCCAATCCCGAGACCCTTCCTGGACATGGGGGAGGGCACCAAGAACCGCATCATCACGGCGGAGGGAATCATCCTGCTCTTCTGCGCTGTGGTACCCGGAACTCTGCTGCTGTTCAGGGTGAGCGGCCGCCAGGGCCCTGGGTCAGCTGGTGAGGGCGGGGTGGCTGAGCAAATCTGAGGGTCCTACAGCTGGGAGAATGTGAGCGTCCGCCGCCTAGGGGGTGGGTGAGGTCATAGAGAATGCACGTGTGTGTGTGTGTGTGTGTGTGTGTGTGTGTGTGTGTGTGTGTGTGTGTGTTCGCGCGCGCGTGGCCATATGCACCAGCCGTCAAGTCACAAATGACCCAGGATTGGCCCTCCAGTGGTAAACTGCCCATCTTTCTCCCGCAGTGCAGCTGAGAGGAGAGGGCCCTTGCTGGCTCTCCCCCAAAGAAGTTCCTCATTTCTCTTACCTGGGGGTCTCAGTCTCCACTCACCCACATCCTCACTTTCCTCCCCAGGGCTGTCTCTCCCCAAGGGCTTTCCAACTCCCCAAGTCACCCTTCAGAGAGATCTCATCCTCCCCTGCCAGGAAGTCTCACTTTCCTCAGCCCCAAACTAGAAGGATGTAGTCCCCCACCCCACCCCCACCTGAAGCCAAGGCTGGGGAAGATGGGGGCTGACTCTGACCTTCCCTAGAATCAGCTTATACTGTAAGGCAATTATTATTATGATGATTAACATTCTTGGAGAATACCAATGCCAAACAAATAGCAAAGCCTAAAAACAGACGCTCACTGGATGTGACCGAGGACACCCCCCTGGCCCTGGCTGAGCCTCAGTTTCCCATCCTGTAAGGGACAGTGGTCAGAGCTCACATCCCAGGCTATCCCACTCCTCTCAGCAGGGTCTCAAAACCTATTGGTGTGCCCTCAAAAGCTGCTGACCTGCCCTCAAAAGCTGCTGACCTGCCCTTCACTCACTGAGTGTTCCAGTAACCCTCTTACTCCCCAACAGAAACGATGGCAGAATGAGAAGTTCAGGGTGGACATCCAGGATGACTATGAGGATGAAAATCTGTATGAGGTGAGTGGAGTGGGGCTGAGGGAAGGCAGGCACTGCATTCCTCCCTGAGGCCAAGGCAGGGACCTTAGGGCACTGATTTCCACTGTGTGTCACTCCCCAGGGCCTGAATCTCGATGACTGCTCCATGTATGAAGACATCTCCCGGGGCCTCCAGGGCACCTACCAGGACGTGGGCAGCCTCCATGTGGGAGACGTCCAGCTGGAGAAGCCATGACCCTGGACAGCTGCCCTGCCCGTTTGCTCCAGCTTCAGAGTCTTCCTCATGCCTTCTGCAAAGTTCTCCTCTTCAACAACTTCTCTCTTAGAAGTAGCCTGCAGGTCTCCTCTCTGCCTCCTAGGTCTCCTGCAGTCTCTCCAGGCTTGACCCCTGCCCAGGTGCTAGCTCTTTCCCCCCAAATGGTCCCTATTCCCTCCTCACACCCTTACTCCACCCTCCCCCAGCTTCCTTTCCCAGGCTCTGCACTCCCTCCCTGAGGGTAATGAGCCTTTAATCGCTGCCTCAAGGGGAGCTGATTGTAGCAGCCTCGTTAGTGTCCTCCCTCCCTGCTACTGCTCTGTCATGGCCACTTAGTGATAATAAATCCTTCCCAACTGCAGACCTTGGCAGGAGTCATGGATCTCCTGGGACTGGGCCCTCCCTCTCCTGGGGCCCAGGAGTCCCAGTCCCTATCAGCCCTCTCTCCTCCCTCAGACCCAAGAGTTCAGCCAGGCTCCCACTTCCCTCCTCTCAGATCCATGAGCCCAGGCCCCCAGCCCCCTCCTCCCTCAGACCCAGGAGCCCAGGCCCCCAGCCTCTTTTTCCCTTAAACTCAGAATTCTGAATCCAAGCCATTTTTCTCTCACCCACCACCGCCTTCCTACCCCCAATCACAGGAACTGAGTTCTAGTAGGTAGACTTGGCTAATTCCCTGAAAGAAACAAAATCTCTTGAAGTGGGTGGGTCCCCACTCCAATTAAAAGGCCCCTCTGGGACTCTGCCCCAGCTCCTGCCCCTGATCTGAAGCAAGTTGTGTGTGTGTGTGTGTGTGTGTGTGTGTGTGTGTGTGTGTGTACTGTCGAGGATTGTGAGGATGAGGCTGCCATATTTATTCAAAGCATATTTAAGCAAGGCTGTGATCCTCAGGAGCACATTGCGCGACCTCTTCCTCCTACAGAGCAGCTGGTAGGCTTGAATTGATGACCTTTCAGTTAGCTGGCCAATGCTTAACCACTGCACCAGTGCTTTAAGCTTTGCAAACACTGGGCGCGACATGGGGATTGGCAGTACTGAATTCCCCGACTGGGGCCACACTTCTCCGTGGGCTGACTGTCACAAAGGTGGTTTGGGAAGGCTGTGATGCCGAGGAGCAGCGGGCAAGCATAGAGAAGCACAGATACAAAGTCTTCTGAAGACAAAGCTGTAAAGTGCAGGAGAAGGTGAGAAGTGAAGGGAAGGGCAACGTGGAGACACAGGGAGTCCAGAGAGAGAGCCACGTAGGTGCAGACATGGAGACAGTGACTGAGACACTGAGACAGAGGGGAGGCTGGCTTAGTGACACTGAAGAAACGACAGAGGGAGAGAGACACACAGAGGAATAGACAGATGCAGAGATGGGAAGAGAGATTCCGAGGCAGAATGTGGCAAAGGGAAGAAGCAGAGGCTTCGAAAAGATTCTAAAGAAGAAAAGGGCGAAAGGAAAGAGACGCAGAGCGAACAGAGACGACGGCAGGGACCCGGGACACAGGGGACAGCAGGCGAGGCTGCAAGTGGCCGGGGAGCCGCGGGGCGGGCGCGGCCAGGGCGGGGCGGTGGCGGGGCCCGCGGGCAGCGGGGCGCGAAGGGGAAGGAAGCGGAGGTGCCGGCCGGGTGCGGGGCGAGGGCAGGAAGCGGGGAGGGGCGGCGGGGCGGGGGCCTCCGGAAAAAACGCCCCAACTTCCTGCCCCGCGGAGCCAGGAAGCGGGAGCCGGGACGCTGGGCCGGTGATCGCCGAGCCCGACCTCGGGTGCACCGCCGGCCACCCCCCCGCGCGGACACCAGGTACCCTGTCCCTGCCCCGGCTCCGCCCGGCCTCCCTCCCCTCTGCGCCGGGGCGAGTGGGGACCAGGGCGAAGGGGCTGGGGCGCCGCAGGGCCGTGGAGGGGTCTCCCCGGGGCCCCGCCGAGCCAGCGCTGCCCCTCCCTGGGCCTCAGTTTTCCCACCTGTCAAAGGGGGTCACGAAAGGGAAACGAATCCAGAGGAGTGCTCGGAGGGCGGGGATGCGGACATCAGGCCTGGCGTGCGCGTCTCCCGATTGCCCGGCGGAGGATGGTCGCTCACCCCATTATGCAGATGGGGAAACTGAGGCTGAGGGCGCAGCACCGGCTGGCTCCCGGGCGCACACATCCCGGGACTTGCTGATCTCCGCCCTCACAGGTGCTCTGCTGAGCGCCGTCCTGCATCTTGCAGGCTGCGGGGCCACCTGAAAAGAAAACAATAGCTAAGCGGGGAAGCCCCTGCGAAGCTGCAAGTTGACAGGAGGGTTTGGAGGCATTTTGGGGTCATTATTTGTATCGTAAGAGATGAAGGTAGAGTAGAGCGCTTATCCCCACTGTACAGATGGGATGACTGAGACACAGAACAATTACTTTTTTATTTCTTTTCCCCCCAAAAAAAGTGGCAAGAAGTGTATATCAGAGGCGAAGGTGGGTTCGAACCTCTGTTGGTTTCCCAGCGTTAGAGGAAAGTGGTGGGAAAGGTACAAGTGAGAATTCAGTGCCCTCCGAGCAAGCGGACAGGGTCGGGAGGAGAGCCCGGGTGCGAGCTCTGCTCCAGGGCTGGAAGCGGCCCCACCTCCCGCCGCGCTGGGGGCGGGGCCCGGAGAGTGACGCGGGCAGTAGAGACCCGGAAACGCCAGCCTCCGAGACGGGCCAGAGCGGTCCTGTCTGGCCAGCGTGGCGCCTTGGCGTGCTAGAGCGGGAGGCGGGAGGAGTGGAGTCGCCGAGGCCGGGACCAGGCAGAAGTCGAGCTAGAGTGGCCGACGGGAGGAGTGGAGCTGAGCTCAAAGCGGCCTCTGGGGCGGCTAGAGCGGCTCGGCGGCGGGGGCGGGGGCATCCCGGAGCGGGCGCGCGGAGGCTTCGGTTCTGGAGCTGCGGCAGCTTTCCACCCGACCTGGAGCAGGTGAGGATCGAGGCCTCGGGTGGGGTCAGAGCCTGACTCCCAGTGTCTGCCCGGCATGTCTCGGCCGTGCACACTGCCACGTTCCTTGTAGGGTTTGGGGCTCTTGTAGACAGACCCGCCACGTCCACTCTAAGATTTGGGGCGCCTCCAGACCTTCCATAGAGATTCATTTCATCGCAAGGTTTTACGGATCCTCCAAGTTACTGCTAGGCTCCCCTTGGGCACCTGGCTTCTTTTAGACGTGAAGTCTTCTGCCATTACAAGCACCTATAGAATTCTGGGCCCTTTTGAGCAGCCCCGTATAGAATCCTATGTGCTTCCCCCTTAGAGTCCTGCCCCCTTATGAATCCTGAATTCCTGTAGATCTACGGTTTGCCAAATAGAACCTGGGGGCTTATACGTTCTTACTTCACCACTAGTGGCGCCAGTTCTCACTCGGTGCTCCTCCATGGGGTTCGGAACCCCTAAATCGTAAAGGTATGGAAGGAGGATACTGCCTATCTTCCGCAGCTAGAGCAACTGAGGATAATATCAGACCTTTCAGAACACACTAAGCTATTCGGACTCATACATTCTTAAGGGTCCCCGTAGACTCACCACACTCCCTTCTGTAGTTTAGGATCTTAGACGCCTCCAGGGGTCCTTGGAGACCTTGGTTTCTCCACTGAATGTCCTGTAGACGTTCCACCCTGCAGAGAGCCCAGGTCCCTATGTGGTCCCCAATCTATGCCCACTTTGCTCTAAGACCCCCAGCACTCTCACCTCCCCATTGCAGTGTTTGTCAGCCTCCTGCTGTTGACAGTTTGGACCAAACATTCATTTGTTTGTTCAGGAGCTCAGGCAGCCCGATTTGTAGGGCGTTGCACTGCTAACCCAAAGGCCCCTTACTGGTGGTTTAAATTCACCAGCAGCTTCTCAGAAGAAAGATGAGCAATCTCCTTCCTTTCAGTTTACAGCCTCAGAAACCCAGTGAAGGGTCACCCTGTGAGAAGGCTCTGACTCAGCGGCAGTGAGAGAGGTGTGTTGCAGAGGACAGGGCTGCCTTGTGCATTTATGATGTTTGCGATCATCTCTGTCCTACCTGCTAGATACCATTAGTCACGCCCTGATGAGATAGCCAAAAATGTCCTAGACATTCACAAATGTCCCCTGAAGGCAAAACCACTTCCCACTGAAAACCACTAGTGTAGGCCCTAAACTAGAACTCACTTGCCATCAAGTAGGTTCCCAATCACAGTGACCCCCCCCCCCCCATGTGTGCAGAGCAGAAGGGACTCAGTCAGATCTGCAGGGCTCTGACTTCAGCAGCAGACAGCCAGGACTTTCATCTGCACACTTCCGGGAGGGTTTGAACAGCTAGCCTTTCAGTTACTCCTGGTGTAGACCCACTGAGGGTTAATTTGAATCTGGGGCCTTCTACATCCCCTGGTCTCCTACAGGTCTCTGTGTTTTAGGTTCTTCGAGCCCCCATGCCACCTGCCCAGTGCCCGAGTTCTGAAGAGATCCCAGCCATCCATGGCCCCAATCTGTGCTCATTTCGTAGTAGGACACATACCCCAATGAATCTAAATCAACATTGACCCCCCCCCCCCGTGCGCCCAGAGTCTCAGGCACACAACACTCCAGCCCTATAGATCCATCTACCCCCTGATAGCTTCAAACTCGTTTTCTGCGTTTGTGGGTCCCCCTTGCCTCTATCTTCTGACCAGTCAGTCCCCCCAGAGTCTCAGAGTTCCAGGCCTGTGAGAAGTAGTGGTATCCAGGCTCCTGTTCTCCCTGGGCCACCACGGCTGCAGGCCTCCTGCTTTCCCAGGTGTCATAAGGAGACCCGATGTTTCACTGAGCTGTGGTTCAGAATTGTGCTGGCTAAGAGTTGCATGGGGAGCCCTACGCCCTGAAACAATGGGGACTGACTGCCTGGGTCTGAATTCTGGCTCTGTGTCTCAGTTTCCTCTGTGAAATGAGAATAATGGTATTATTGACCTCTGAGGGTCACTGAGAGAATTAAATTAATTAATAACTATATAAAGCCATAATACTGTGCCTGGCATATCTTAAGTACACATTAAGTGTTTGTTCTTATTTCAAGTTACTGTAGTGAGACTAAAAGAGATACTATGTGTCAAATGCATGATTCTGGACCTGGTACCTAGCAGTGACTCAGATAGTATGTATCCATTCCTATTCCCCTTTGGAGTCTTTGAACCTCCCCTGAGTGAGAGGACATGGTTCAGCCCAGCAGTTGCAGCTGTTGGCTTGGCAGAAGTTTTCTCACCCCTTAATGGGCCTAATAATAGCGTGTGTGTAGGGGATTGCCTTGTGGTTGTGAGGGCTAAAATGAATTCACTTGAGAGGATCCCTTATTTAGAGCAGTGCTGCTTGTTGGCCTTCAAAATCCATCCAGGCTCATAGTGCAACCCTGCAGGACCGATAGAGCTGTCTCATGGAGTTTTCCAAGCCTTCACCCTCAAAAGGAGGATCTGCTTCATCTTTCTCCCACAGAGCAACTGGTGGGTTCGAACTGCCAGCCTTTCAGTTAACAGCCCAACTTTTAACCCATTGTACCTCCAGAGCTCCTGAAAGCAATGCCTAGCACATAGTAAGTGCTATATAAGTTTAACTCATACAACAAAGAATTATTATGCTGCCTTAGCTTACATATTTATTTCTCTGAAACCATAACAGTGCTCAAGTCTCAGATTACCCAAGTTAGATGTTGGGAAATATACCTTTAATAGAAAAGAATAAAAATAATGTCTACTTGGGTGAACCTATAAGAGCCCTTTTGAAACTCTGGTGGCCTCATGGTAAGCAGTTGTGCTGCCAGCACTAAGGCAAGTGGTTTGACTCCATCAGCTGCTCCGAGGGAGAAGGGTGAGTAATCTTCTGTGGGATTTATAGCCTTTGGGAACCTACTGGAGGGTCAGCTCAGAGTCAGTTCCGACTCGCTGCATGTAACAGTACCACCAACATAGGACCTGGGATCCCTTTGGACACTTCAGAAGGGCTTTTTAACAAACTACCAGAACCAGTGACTAAATTTTATTGAGTGCTAGGAAGGAGGCCTGTGAGAGAGGGCGAAGGGTGAGTCTTGAGCAACCAGGGTTATAAATAGCTGTGGGATTGCCCCTCCCCCAGGCCTTCCCCACCCTTCTTTCCGAAGTTCCTTCCCACTTGACATGGGTGCCCTTGGTGTTAGTCAGACTAGTTAAGGACATAGAGGGTAGAGGATGTCGGTGGAAAAACTCAGAAGTGGTGACTCGATGGGAAAAGACAAGGCGAGTTGGTTGTTGGGGGAGCTGGAGAGAGAAGAGAGCCAGTAGCTGAGATGAGACAGCCACGGGGGGGGGGGGGCAGACGGGCGCAGGTGAAGAAGGGAGAAGAGGGAGGCAGAGATAGTGGAAAAGTGAAAGATGCAGCCAGGGGGAATTGTCCCCAGCCAGGGGTACAGAGAGGAGGGACAACAAGATGGATGTGGGGTGCAGGCTGGTACCCAGACACCCACCTTGAGATGGAGCTGTCTGGGACAGCTGCCATTCTCTGGGACTAAAGCCAGGGAGTGAGGCAGTCCCTGAGGAATATGACTTCTGGCTCTGGGAACTTGTGATCCCTGAGGGCAGAGGGCTCAGAATCTCATCTTCTTGTGTGGGGAGGGGGTTGAGGGTTAGGGGGTTTGCCACTGTGATTTCCTGTCACAGGAAGTGGGGCTGGTGGGTTCAGAGGCAGCATCCTGCCCCAAACCTATCACCGCCATCAGGGGAGAACCCCCACACCCCTGCCTCCCCGTCTCTGCTGCCTGTAGGCCCTGTCCCCTGGGGTTCCAGCCCCCTCTTCCAAAGGGACCCAAAATTGCAGGCACCCAGACACAGCCTCCTGGTGGACCTAGGCCTCTGGGCCTTCCACTTCCCCATGCCCAGGCTCTCATCTGAATCCCGCCCCCTGGCTGGCCTCTGAAGGGCTCTTTGTCGCCACACAGAGGCCTCATTGAGCACG